CCGGGGCCGGAGCCGGCCGGAGGAGCTCCGCTCAGTAGCATCGGGCCCGCCAGACTGAGCTAGGGGAGAGGGGAGCGGGGCGGGCAGCGAGGAGGGGGCGGGGCTCCGCCGGGCGGTGGGAGGGGCGGGGCCTGTCAGTAACAAGGAAGGGGAGGGGCTCCGCTCCGCAACCGTGGCCCGCCTCCCTCTGCCGGGGCGGAGAAGGGAGGGCGCTGACTGCCTGTCGGTGTGCACGCGCGAAAAGTGGGTGACCGCGGGGCAGGGGATGCGACTCCTGACTGTGTGGACGAATCCTCCACGTGTCGCCACGCGTGCCCCTATGGGGGTGCACCCGTCCACATCTGTTCCCCCTCCTCAGCTCCCTAGGTTCCCGGGCCTCTGGCGCCTTCTTCCCATCCCTTCTCCAAGCCCTCTCAACCGGGAAACAATATTTCTAAGAGGAAAATCTAGAGAGAGAGACAGAAGGGACCGTTCTGTAAGATGTAACAGCTCCCCCTTCCCACCTTGTTACCTTGGGAGCCCCACCTAACCCTCCCATTCAGCTGCTCGTACCGCACATATCTGGACCCAAATTGCTTCCCAAACCAAGCAACCACATCTCACATCCTATCCAATCAACTCCCTAAAGACACCCACCTCTCCCATGTCGTTTCCACAGACACCCTCGATCACACGCAAATAGCCTTTCGCACAAACACCCCCCACCTACAGGCTCACCCGCCGCGAGCACGCCCACCCGGTCCAGACTGCAGCGCGCACGCCCGCAGAAATCCCTTCAAGTCACATCCCTGATTTCATTGTCAATCAGATTAGTGACAGAATAGAAACAGACAAGTCAATAAATCAAGTCTGGAAACAGTTCCAGTGCTGCCTATCACAAAGCCAAATACTAGGCATTTTTTGTCTTAGAAATAAAGCCAGTTCCTACCCCAGAAATGTTGTAGCCCTGAAGCCAACGCCAATCTTTGAGTCTGGATGCTCTGGCTCGGTTGGAAAAGTAGTGCCTCCCCGCAGCCTCACCCCACCATCACTCCCCTGGGCACTGCCTCAGGGTCACCCCCACTCCTCAGCTCTTCTGTGCCTTCTGAGGGAGAAAAGAGCCAGTGGGGTCCATTCTGGAGGAGTCCCAAAGAGAAGGGGGCAGTTCAGAACTGGAGGAGAGAGAACACTGTGAGGGCACGCCTGCGAATCCCCCAGGATTTCTAAGGCCCCGGGCTTCAAAAGTACTTGTTGAGTTCCTGCTTTGTGCAAACTCTAACTACCAACTACCAACACCATGCCTAGCATCAGTCAACGACAGGGGACAATTAGGAAGGAGACAGTGCTTCTCAAACTTTAGTGTAAACACGAATCTTCTGGTTCTGATTCTGTAGATCTGGCTGGCATGGGGTCCCACAAGCTGGAGTTCTAACAGGCTCCCAGGTCACACCAATGCTGCTGTTCCCTCAACCACAAGGCTGTAAGAGATACTGAAAAATCTGATATTGTGCCTGGCTTCATAAAGTATAACAGAGAAAATAATATATAGGTGCACATTTTTTAAACGTGCAATTTAAAAAATTGACTAACATAGAGATGATAAGTACCAGAAGAATGGTCCAGTTAATCCATATTGGAGGGTCTTCAAAATCATCAGGTATGAGGACATGGAAAAGTCACTGATCCAGGAGTCCAACAGTTGTGGCTCTAGCCAGACCTCTAGGCAAGGTTCTCAATGCCACAATGCTCTCCTTCCTTACGGCTGGAGAAAGCATGATGAGAGTGTGTGAAGACTAAGGGAGAAGATGGATGTGAGCGAGCTTTTAAAACTGTAAAATGCTTACAGTGGAAAGGTGTCAAATGAGGCCACGTATGTTTAAGAAGTATGGAGTTAAGCTGCTGACAGCTCAGAGGAATGGGATCAATCAAGTTTGCACAAAAGAGAACAGGCTTCTTGACAGAGATTAGGATTTGGGACAGATGAAGTAATGGGGTGCAAGGTCATGCCAAGTCAAGGCGTCAGCAGGAACCAAGCAAAGGCATGAGGGTGGAATCCAGTATACCATAAATAAAGGGAGGATTCATGTGGTACATAAGGTCACCATGAGTCAGAACTGACTTGATGGCACCTAACAACAGCAACAACATGGTGGGAAACAATAAGAAAAAATTTAGGTGTGTGTGTGGTGGGGGGGAGCGGTGCAATAAAGGTAGGATTTTGAAATGATAATTTACAAAACGATAATACTTTGTGTGCACCATGCACATACACTTGTTTTAAAGGATGTGTTACTGCACTTTCCTCCCCACCAGAGTGTGAGCTCCTGGACGCAGGCGTGGTTGAGGCACCTCACGGGGCCAGGCACCTTGCTAGGAGCCCTGGATACAGAGGTTAGCCCAGCTTCTCCAAGACTTGGGTGGAGTTTGCCAGATTCCAAGTCTTGCACGTTTAGCATTTCACTGTAGAATCTGGGATTCTCAGAGAAGCAGAGGTGTCCCCATCACCTAGTACAAAAGCGGTCACGTGACAGAGGCTTAACAAATGTTGAAACGAATAAAAATTTTTTCTGTTGTCCTTGTTTTTATATAGCTCTAATCACGATATACACACAATTTTTGTCCTGCTTTTTTTTCATTTAACGTTGGATGAAAATTTCCCTATTGTTGTTATGCAGGCTTTATTTTTTTCCAATTTTTTTTTTTAAATTTCAAATCTTCAGAAAGTTGAAAGTGCAGTGGAAACCTGTATAACTTTCACCTAGATTCACCACTTTTGCTTTATCCCTCTCTCTTCGCTAAACCATTTGAAGCAAGTTGCAAATATCACGATGCTGCAGCTCTAACTGCTTACGAAGAATAAGGAATTCTATGAGGCCATCACACCGTTATCACACTTAGGAAATTTAACAGTAATTCAACAGTATTATCTATTATACTGCCCATATTTAATTTTTTTCATTTTTCCCAAGAATGTCTGTCATGGTTTGAATTATGTCCCCCAAAATATGGGTGTATCAACTTGGCTAGGCCATGATTCCTGGTACTGTGTGATTTTCCCGTATGTTGTAAACCTGCCTCTATGATGTTAATGAGGGAGGATGGGTGGCAGTTGTGTTAGTAAGGCAGGACTGGATCTACAAGACTGGATTGTGTCCTGAGGCAATCTCTTGAGATATAAAAGACAGAAGTGAGCAGTGAGAAAGGGGGACCTCATACCATCAAGAAAGCAGTGCCGGGAGAGGGTGCGTCCTTTGGACCGGGGTCCCTGAGCAGAGAAGCTCCTACTCCAGGGGGACACCGAAGAGAAGAAGGCTGACAGAGAGAAAAAGCCTTCCCCTGGAGCTGACGCCCTGAATTTGGACTTTTAGCCTACTTTGACTGTGAGGAAATACATTTCTCTTCGTTAAAACCATCCACTTGTGGTATTTCTGTTATGGCAGCACTAGATGACTAAGACAATGTCTTTCATAGTTTTTTGTTTTTTTTTCCTGATTCAGGATTCAATCAAGGTTTACCCATTGCATTTGGTTGCTAAGTTTCTTTAGTCTTCTTTGATCTTGAACAATCCCCAAAATTTTTGTTGCTAGCTTATTTTTCATGACATTGATCGTTTTGAAGCATCCAGGCCAGTTGTCATGTAGAACATCCCACTTTCTAGATTTTTCCATAGTTTCCTCATGATTAGATTCAGGTTTAAACATTTTTGAATAGGTGATATTGTGGCCTTCCCAGTGTGTTACATCGGGAGGTCTATAATACCCATTTGTCCCTTTATTGATGACTCTAGGCTCAATCACTTGGTTAAGGTTGGGGTCAACCAGATCTTTCCACTTCATAATTTAAAGTAAGCTGGGGATGATATCATGAGAACTTTTAACTATTCACTCCCAACAACTGTTTACCCCACGGTTTTAGACTCCATTGATGATCTATGCTTGCATTTGCAAGACAGGGAGTTGCAAAATGGTGATTTTCTAATTTTATAATTTCTTCTGCATTTCTTAGTTGACACTCTTCTGTAAAGAAGAGCTTTCTGTCCCTACCCCTACCCCCACTCCTCTCTCTCTGTCTCTCTTTCATCACCATGGACTCAAGAATTCTTTTTTTTATTCAATGTGATATAATCCATTATCATCAGTAATCTTTTCGATGCTCAAATTGTCTCAAATTTGGCCAATGGGTGCGTTTTCTAGAGGCCTCTGTGTCCTTTTGAGTTGGTCCCATCAATATTTAAGAACTTACTTGCTTTTTCACTTAAGATATCTCCAGATCTATAACCAGTCATTTCTCTAAAGGCCTCTTACTCCTTTTAATGGTATTTAAAATTTGGTTTTATACTTTTAAAATGGCTTTTTAATATCTTGCCAAATTAACATACCTTAGTTTAGTTTAACATTACCTTACTGTTGCGTATTTCGGTTATTTCCAATCTCCTGTTTTATAAATAATCTGTAATGAGCATCTTTATTAAGATAACTTTTCCAATTTTAGGGTTATTTCCATTGGTGAGATTCCCAAAAGTGAAATTATTGCAACAAAGTGTGTAAATTATTTTCTGATTCTTGATACACATTGCCCACTTTCTCTCATGGAAGTCTCAACAATGACTTCTTAAGTGTCAAACCCAACTATTTTGTCTCATTCCTTTTTCTTTTGGACTTCTTTGCTTCATCTGAGTCTGTTGAGCTCTCTCATCTCTGAAACCTTCTTCTCCCAAACTTTCCTTAAAATGACACTGTCTTGGCCACAGCCTT